TAACCTTGACTGCGTTCTAATGTAGGTTCAACAGACTAAGCATCAGGAACTTATGAGAGAGACAGCCCTCTCTCTCTCTCCTCTGGGATCTACAGAGTCTGCTAGCTATGTGTTGACTCAGAGCTGACCTATCCAGGAGACATGATGGGCAGAAGGCCAAGGTCTCACAACACCGCCTTTCTTTTTGATAGTATGGGGTTTGAAGTCAGGGCCACACTCTCAGTCCTTTTGCTTTAGTTTGTTTTTAAATAGGGTCTCATACTTTTGCCCAAACCAGCTTTATACTGTGCTCCTCCCACCTCTCTTAAGCAGTTAGTACCACAGCCACGGGCCATCATGCCCAACTTGTTTGTTGAAATATGTCTAACTTTTTGCCCATCCTCCCATCGCTACCTTCTGCAAATCTCACTTATGGGTATATGGCACTATATACTAGCCTTCCCCATGATACTTTTAAGTGTAAATTTTTAAATGTTTTAAGTTAAATTTATTTTAAAATCAGAAAAATATAATATAATAACGGATACATAATAATGGATCCAGTCTGAATTATATTTGTCTTTGTACTGACAGTCATAGAACATGATGTTTAATATCTTCATGAAGGAAGGAAAAAACAAAGGCAAAAGTGCCCAGGGCCCACAGAAGACATAAACCAGGCCTGGTCTGACTCTTCCTGCCCCACACGCCCCACAAGCACTCCTAGGGCTTCCCTTATGGAGCACCCCAGGCTAGCTCCACGACTCGTCTTGGAATCGAGAACAGCTTTAGCTGTTTAAAGAAAGCCCTTAATTACCTTCTTCTTTTGCTTCCCATATTACTGAAGTAATGAGATCTGAATTCAAAAACCACTCTCTTTCCGATTGCTTTGTGGAAAATCACACACATGCTTTAAAAACACTTTGTTTTGGGGCTCCTGTGTAAGCTATACAGAAAGGGTAAATTACAAAGAACAAATAGAAAATAGCCTCTAATCATCATGTTTTAAAAATCTAAGTCAATTGGCTGTAAATTTTCACATCTTGGAGAATATGGGACTTAATAAAGAACAAAGCATAGCTTTCCCACATTACCCATAACTACCTTCCATACTTTAATATACATTATCACACACTGTAAATGCATAAGTGGATGGGTATACAGTTGCCCTGATCTGACTGTTGCACATTGTTCCTGCATTGAAATGTATGTCACACTGTGTCTTACAAACATGTATGGTTACTATGTGCTTATTAAAAATTTTTAAATTTACTTTAAAAACTATTTGTTGACTGAATAAATGAATGGATATTTTAGGTCAAAAGAGCTCTCCAGTCTATTATTAGATCTACAGGAAATGATGTAAGGTAAAGATGCATGATAATGCAAATGACACTGAACCAAGTGCCAGTCTTCTTCTCAAGTCATGTGGTCGTTGTAACAAATCCAAGAAGAAAAGATAGGCCTCAATTTCTCTGATAATCAGTGCCAGGGAACTGGCACTGATACTTTGTGTAAGGAAAATCAACCTTGTTCTTGTGCTCAAGCACCTACCTAGGAAGATCAACATTGTATTCTTCATCAAAAAAAAAAAAAAAAAAACTTTCAGTCAGGTCAGGTACAGTTGCTCAAGCCTGTAATCCTATCTACATGGGAGGTGGAGACCAGAACCAGCCCAGGCAAAAAAGTTCACAAGATCTCATCTCAACCAATGGCTGGGAATGGTGACAAGCACCTGTCACCTCAGCTACATAGGGAAACACAAATAGGATTGTGGTCCAGACCACAATAAAGCAAGACTCTATCTCAAAAATAACCAAAGCAAAAAGGGCTGGCAGCATGGGTCAAGTGGTAAAGCACATGCCTTAGCTAGCATGAAGCCCTGAATTCAACCCCAGTACTGAAAAAGGAAGGAAGGAAAGAAGGAAGGAAGGAAGCTGCCAATTAACTAATCAAGGTCCATTTAAAAAATAGATTTATATGATATTTTGCCAAAAATGTTTAATACAAATTGATTTAGGAGGAATTAATTAAATCATTCTAGAGTATCCTATAAAATGACTGGACTAGATATTTCTAAAATTCAAAACAATGAACAATTATTCTAAATTAAAAAGAAAGTAAAGGGATTAAAAGACAAACTCAATGTATAAATATTGATTTGGTTAATGTACCAAAAATTTAAACCAATTCTAAGAGATGAGAGGTTTGGGGGGACAACTGTGAAAACTGAAGAGGAAATGCTTGTTATTTAGCAATGTTACATTTCTTGTGTGTGGCACTAATATTGTGGTTGGAGGTGTGGCTCAAGTTGTAGAGCACCTACTTTACAAGTATGAAACCCTGAGTTCAAACCCCAGTCCCACCAAAAAAAAAAAAATTCAGATTTTCAGATTAGGGTTACTCAGGGTTACTCAGCCAGTCTATGCAAATATTCAAAAATCAAATGGAAAAAAAAACCCAAACTCTGAAATATTTCTGGTCTTAAGCATTTCAGATAAGGGAAATTCAGTAAATGAATGACTTGATTATAACAAGGAGTGCTTCCTGTTACCATGACCAAAGTTATTTCTACAGTCTGAACTCATATTGGTATGTTCACATAGTGGAACACTGATTTGAAATAAAAAATGAAGACCAAATTATTGATCCATGCAACCCTACAGATATGTGGCAAAAACCTTATGCTGAGCAAAAGAATATATACTATATTATTTTGTTTATACTCATTTTTAAAATAGGCAAAACTAACCTGATAGAAATCAGGTGTTTGGATGAATAAAAAGACACACAAGGGAATTTGCTGAAGTTACAAAAATGTCCTATATCTTGTTTTATACTCTTTGGGGAGTTACATGGATGTATATAATTGTCAAAGATGGTTCAACTGAACACTTGAGACTGTATCTGTCTAACCTCCATCAAAAAATAGAATAGTATTAAAATTAATATTGCTTCATGTCATTTGATAAACTCGATACTTACCAAGGGATTTCTTTTTACTGCCGAACATTATTGCACCTGATCTTTCACCAGGTCTCGATAGCTGTCCTTCATAAGAAAACAGGAGAAATATAAAACATTAGTATTTGAAAAATGCTTAATACATTTGCACCCTTTAACTTTCTTCCTAGACAAATTTAGGAATTTGCTGACACAATATAACAACAGATTCAACTTATCAGGCTTCAATCTAAGCAGATAGTAATAATCTTGCACAAAAATCATTATATCATAAATGTATTGGGACTCAGAAAGCTGTATCCCAAAGGGAAGGCCTCAGAGGCTATCTCAAAAGCAAAATTTCTCATTCCAAGAATGGGGAGAGAGGATAAAGGAGAATGGTGGAGGGGGTGAATTCAAGCACATTATATTTGATATATTGTAAGAACTTTTATAAATGCCACAATTTACCCCCACCCAGCACAACAATAAAAAAGAGAGAGAGAAAGCTTCTCTCTGACCTGCTTCTTTCCTGTCTCTCACCCCTCATTCTCTTCCAAAGCAGTCTTTGGAATGAGAATTCCTAGTCCCTAAGGCAGGTCATAGAAACCAGAATCCCTGTCTCCCAAAGTCAGCCATAAAACCTAAAAATATTACTCTAATTTTCCCCCACATTTCTGTGTAGAATTAGCCATAAAAATTTCTCTGAGTTTCTGGCAGTGTTGCTCTAGTGGTAGAGCACCTGCCTAGCAAGTTCAAGGCCTTGAGTTCAAACCCAAGTACCACCAAACAAACAAACAAAAATTCTCCAAAAGATCCTGCCCCATGCCTCAGAGAAAGAAATGAAACAAGTGAAGGCCAAGAAGATTCTGAGCAGTCAGACATCATCGGGTTTCCCCACTCAGTTTACATTGGATCACTCACATTTTTTTCCATTCATAGCTTTACACAGCTATCCCTGATTCATCGAACCTAAGCATAAAAATGGATCATTTACCCTGGGTCTTCGGGTTCAGTCTGAAGGCTACTGTGTGTGTAGAAGGTAGCCTCAGTGAAGAAAGACATTCTGTCACTCCCCTTATCTCAAAGGGTTACAGAAAGGAGCCATCTTGAGAGAAGACTTATTGATTGAATCTGAGTTACTCTGGGGACCTAAAAACAAGGAATAATCTTGGCTTACAGAGACAGTGTCACAGTGTCCGGGTGGGAGATGGCCTTAAGAGGTGACTGAGGAGAAGGACAGGGTCTGATGTGGTCCTACAGAGAAGTTCAAGCAACAGGGAGCTCTGGTAGCAAAGGCATAGTGGTTGGAGGCCCTCTCTTCCATGGCAAGGAAAAAATTCCTTCACCTGAAGCAGAAATAGAGTACTTAGGGTATGGCTGCCATAGTAGTATTTGATCTCCAGGGCCTGCCTCCTGGGTGCATGTATTGATTGCTAGGTGGTCACAGTCCTGAGCCAAGACCCTCCAAATCATGTGATTCCCTTAGCCTCCTTCCCATCACAAGGAGGTGAGCTGTGTGGCAGGGCCTGAAAACACTGACATCCACCTCTGGGAACTGCATCCTACCATGTATTTGCTGCCAGGTGAATCTAAAGGCCTAGCACACAGGACTTCCAACTCACGTGATTTCCACAGCCTCCTCTCCCACAAAAGGGGGGTGAATTGTGGGGCAAGATCTGAAAGCAGTGAGCCCTGCTTCCAGGAAATACATCCAGCCTGTGTTACCTTTCAGGCGGGTGTGAGGACCACAAGTCCAGACCTCCAAATCAAATAACTTCTACAGCCTCCTCCACCAAGTGGGAGGTGAACTGCTGGTTGAGACTTCAATGTACTGACACCGCTGCCAGGATCTGCATCCTGGTGTGGGTTTGCTGCCAAGCAGGACTGAAGGCCAAGTCCAGACCCTCTAAGTCATGAGACTTTCACAGCCTCCTCCTCCCAACAGAGAGGAAAACTACTGGTCAAAGTCTATAAGCCTGGAAGCCAACAAGCAAAGCAACTAGGTCCCTCAGTTCTCCCCCAGCCAGTACAGAACTCAGAGCTCTGTTTGCTCCTCCCACTCTCTAACATGTATGGAGGTTACTCCAAGGTTTGGACACTTGTTGCCCATAGGAACAAAAACTGGGGAGAGGGCTTGTGGATCAAGTGGGAATTTGCCTGACCCACAGACTATAAAGCTTCCCGCAGCCAGCAGCAGCTCTCAATACACAAGAAGCTTCTATAGTGAAAGCAGCTGAGAAGCAGACAAGCAACCCTTCTACAAGAGATTCCAGCTAGTTTACCTCAATCTGAGCAATACTGGGGCTGAGGATCAATGACCTGAGCACACAGGCAAATGCTTGGCTACTGAGCCATACCTCCAGTCCAGTGGTGAGAAATAGCACCTCAACCCTGCCACTACACATCCTGCCTGAATAGTGAGAACACTTTGGCTGAAAGACTACAGGTGATTGAAACAGCCAACAAACAACTTGGCCTCAAATGTGTAAATCCCAACACAAAAACACAAGAAATATGAAAAAACAAGTCAACAGGACTCCTCCCAAACAACTCCACAGTACAAACACTAATAACAGTGAAGTGGATGAAATCACACACAAAGAATTTTTTAAGTAATAAGAATGATTAATGAAATTAAAGAAGACACAAATAAATGCCTGAATTAATTCTAAGAAAACTCAAAGAACTGAATGAAATAAAGAAGATAATACAGGAAATGAAAGAGGAATCCAATAAAGAATAGAAATGCTGGAAAAAAAAACCAAAATGAAAATCTCAATACGTTAAATTAAAACACAGTTAAAAGCTTTCTAATAGAATCAAATTGAAGACAAAACATCAGAGCTTTGCAAATGAAGGGTAGAAAAAAACTAAAGAAGTAAAATTGGAATATGCAAGGTCTCTGGGACATCATTAAAAGACAAAACCCATGAATCATGAGCATAGAAGAAGAAGAGGTGCAAGCTAAAGGAATAGAAAACATATCCAATAAAATAATAACAGAAAACTCAAATTCGAGACAAAGATGATCATCCAAGTACAGGAGGCTTTTAAGACTCCAAACAGACAAAATTAGAATAAAACCTCTCCAAGGCATATTACAGTTGAAACATCAGGCATACAGAACAAGGAAAGAATACTGAAAACTGCAACACAAAAGGCCAACTCACCTAAAAAGACAAACCCATCAAATAAAAACAGACTTCTAAACAAAATTTTTAAAATCAAGCAGTGCATGGAATTATGTATGTCCACCTTGAAAGAAAATAGCTGCCAACCTAGATTACTGTATCACAAAGCTATAAGCTGTCCTTCATAATTAAGGACAGCTATAAGCTGTCCTTCCATGATAAACAAAAAACAAAGCAATTCACTATCACTAAACCAGCACTGCAAAAGATGCTTCTAGGAACCCTAGAAAGAAGAGGAAGATAAGTACAAACATGAAAATACAGGAAATAATTAATCTAACTATACAAATAAGATAAGCAAATGAGGAGGAAGGAAAAAATCAAGTGCTAAAAAACCAATGAAATGGCAGGAATTATTACATACCTGTCAATAATAACTGAATGTTAATAGTCAATTATTCAATCAAAAGACACAGACTGGCAGATTGGATTAAAATATAAGATCCAACTATTTGCTCCCTAAAAGAACTGCACCACACTGGCAAAGAAAAACATAGGCCTAAAGGGATGGAAAAAGACTTTTCAAGCAAATGGATCCCTAAAGCAAGCAGGAGTAGCTATACTCATATCTGACAAAACAGACTTCAAACCAAAATTAGTCAAAAGAGATAGAAGTCACTTCATATTGACAAAAAGAAACTATCCAGCAAGGAAAGATAACAATTATAAACATATATGCAGTAAACACTGACACTGACACGAACAATTTCATAAAGCAAATATTACTAGACATAAAAACATGGGTAGACTCCAACACAATAATAGTGGGTAATACTTCACTCTCACAAACAGGTATCCAGACCAAAACAAAAAATCAACAAGGAAACTTTAGAATTAAGTGACTCTATAAACCAAATGGACTTAACAAACATTTACAGAATAATCCATATAACAGTTGCAGAAAACACATTCATATCTGTAGCCCACAGAAATTTCTCCAAAATAGCTCATATCTTAGGACATAAAGCAAGTCTTAACAAACACAGGAAATTTGAAATACTTTCCTATATTTTAGCAGACTACAATGTAATAAACTAGGAATCAGTAGCAAGAGAAACTATAGAAAATATCCAAATCCATGGAGACTGAATAATTCACTCTTGAAAGATACGTGGGTCATTGATGAAATGCAAGAGAAAATTTTCAAAAATTCCTAGAATGAAAACACAATTACCAGAACCTTTGGGACACGGAAAATGCAGTGATTGAGATTTATAGATACAGAGTTCCCTCATTAAAAAAATCATGAGAGATGGCAAATAAATAAACTAATGACCCACCTCAAGCTCTTAGAATAACAAGAACAAGCCAAAAGCAATAGGCAGAAAGAAATAATAAAGGTTGGGGCAGAAATTAATGAAATGGAGATTAGAAGAAGAATACAAAGAAACAATAAAGTTGGTTCTTTGAAAAGATAAACAAGATTGACAAACACGTACCCAAACTAAGCAAAAGAAAGAGAGAAAACATTCAAATAAACAGAGACTCCAGTTAATTGGAGATGTGAAAGGGCATCAACAACAAACACCAATGAAATTCAAAAAATTATTATGGAATACTTGAAAACTTATATTCTAATGAACTAGAAGCACAAAAGGCCCCAAATAGCCAAACAATCCTGAGGAAAAGAACAATGTTGGAGGTTTCACAATACCAGACATCAAATTATACTACAGATCCATATAACAAAAATTGCATGCCACTGGCACAAAAACAGACACATAGACCAAGAAATCGAATAGAAGATCCAAAAATAAGCCCACACAGCTTGAGCCATCTGATTTTTAACAATGGCACCAAAAACATGCACTAAAGAAAAGACATCCTCTTCAATAAATGCCATTGGAAAAACTAGATATCCACATGTAGAAGACTGAAGCTAGACCCTATGTCTCACCCTGCACAAAAATTCAA